TCGTACAGTCAGCATCGTTTGCACATGGGTTTCCCGGTTCATAAATTGGCTGATTGAAAATGTTGCCACTGAAAAGTAGTTTCTTTAGCTTTCTAGTAACAAAAAAATTTAAGCGACAGTAGTCAGGGACTATGAATGGTGCTAGGAGGAATACAAATAGTAGTTCTTTTATCAATGTTCAGTATGTTTGAGACGTACAGTTCTTGATACTGGCAAACAACAAACGCAGCAGAGGATCCTTGGTGAGGACATACGGCAAATCCACATCCGACTCTTGTTGTTTTTGCCCAAGCCATCTGCAATTTCACATATTTTATTTGGATTATCTGTTTTATTTATGAGGCAGTTAGAGGCTGTTGTTAGTCAAGGGAAATGGTGTTTTTTAAAAGATTTAGATTGCAGATTAGTTTTTGGTGGTTCTAAGGTGATAAAATAATCAGCTTCTACACAGTTCTACAGAGCTGAAAATTTACCGCTGTAAAGTGACCAAGTCCAGCATCAAAAATGGGTGCGGTTAGGAGATTTCTAGGGTCTGAAACAGTATAATCGCGAACCTCGTCCCACCATGAATCTATTGCTCTAGATACCTGCTTATCTAAATTTTCATATATTTGCTGGGTTTTTTTTTATTACCTGTTAAAGGTGATTTCGTTTGATTTAAACGTTAGAATTTTTTTTAGTGGTTCTTATTGTTTTGTATTATTTCTGTTCTAACTGAAAATGTTAAAGGGTATGGAAGCGTGTTTTTGTAGAATAGCCAAAGAGCGAAGATCTTTTTTTATTTAGCGATTAATAACAACAGACTGTGAGTACCATTAGAAGAAAAGGTACGTACCAGCTTCAATTGGGCCACCCCAAGTCCAGTACAGATTTTCTGAAGCACTCGGAGTCTTGGAGTGAGAAAATGTGCACCCCTGTGCCCACCTTTGCGCCTGCATTTCTAAAGCGCAGTCGTAAGTCTGAAATGCATACACTGATTTTGTTTTATAGGCATTTTTTAAAAGTTCTTAATGAGGTAATTTATCTTTTATTTAGCTGTTTGCACTAGTGAAAAATACGATAATAAAAATCTTAATGAATTGGAAGGGGTGGCGTTTATCTGTGTATCAAAGTCAGCGAAAACCTATACCAGTTTGTAGATGTTTCTTCCAGAAGGCGCAAACATTCTGTTTTTGCCTATGACTCTGCCTGTGGCTAATTGAGATCTGTGCTCATTGTGCTGGTCTACAATCTTTCTTCTTATATCATCGTTTAAATGAGGTGATGTACATTGTTGGCTGTATGCTGAAAAAAATTTTAATTATTTCATTGTAGATTGACTAATAAACAATCAATAGTAAACAAGTAAAAACTGCAACAATTTTTTCCAAATACAATTGCCGGTTTTGGAAAGCAGTAGTTGGAGTTTAGTGAATTTTAATTATATTTCAGTAGGTTGATTTTTAAGTTTCAGCTGTTCTGTTCAAGGCTGACAATAAAGATTGTGTGTGATAGCAAAGAGTTGCTCTAATGGATAGGTCTTTTATTTTTTTGTTTTTATATTTTACTCAAAAATAGAAAGTTTTTGACGTATTCGAGAATAGTTAACCTTGTTTTGGAAGAAGGCAGACGGGTATTATTAATCCAAGTAGCACTGATTGTTTCATTATGGCTTGGCCTGTGATTGGTTTTCTGCAATTTTTATTCAATTGTTTAGTTTGAATTTACTCAATGAAAGTTTTTTAACACAGTTTCAACTACAATTTGAAGCATTGATCGGCGGTTATAGTAGAGCAGGAGGAGTTTGTCGTCACTGAGTGCTGAGTGCATAACTCGCCTCTTTTTGATTTTCTTCTAGTATATTTTGTAACGGAACGTTATTTATGGTTACTCATAAGTAAGTTATAGCAGATAGGTATTTTTTGTTGCTTACTAATGATCTTTTATCTTTTTTAAAGATGGGTTTTATTGTTTTCAAAAGAGATTAGGAGGGTTGAGTCAATAATTTGATAAATCCAAGCTTTGGGGAACTGCAGTAAGCTTAAAGTCATTTATTGGTTTTGACTGGTGTAAAAAGTGGATTAGTCTGATAGAACTGCTTTAGAATTTGTGACGGTGGCTTTGGTAAGGTGATTTGGTCTTCCGCGTCTTTCTAAAAAAGAGATTGCTTTTGAGCACGTAAGAAGGCGCTTATACGGATATAAAGTCTTATTAAGCTTGTTATTTCAAATGCTATAAGTTGGCAGAAGCAGTAAATAGAAGTAAATAGCTATACGTGTTAAACGGCACTGTGAAGTGACTGCATGCCACAAGTTGATAGCCTCTGAAGTCAAAACGAAATTTAGATGATTGGAAGTACTTGTTTAATTTTATTGCAGTGTGATCGACAAATCTGGGTATATAAAGGTGTATAAAGAAATATTTTTAAAATTGCATGTAAAGAAATTTAGAAATTAATGTATTATATGACTTCTTAAGTTTTGGAGCAATTAAAAGCCAGTCGATGGACCACACAAAGATCAACTTTTTTTTATCAGAAATAATTTAGTTTGTCAGACAAGACTGCTCTTTTGTAAACCGCTGATTAAGCACTGTTTAGAGAACTTTGTTAGTTTAAAGTCTTTAATTTATGCTGCACAATAAATATGAAATGTCTTTTATTTGCTAATGGAACTTAGCAGTCAAAAGCTGTTATATGCTGATATGCTGGTAAAACTTATAGCATTCAAAAAAAATTGTTTCAGTTTTTGATGATGAACTAAATAAGGTTCCAGTGAGTTATCGAATGGTAAGTATGAATAAAAGCTGATATTTGGTTTAAACATTTCAAGGATTTAGCGGTCATTGAGCGATTGGTAATAAATTAATCGGTCAGTTGATTACAGATAAAATCACAATTCTTCTTCGTTATTATCGAGCAAAAACTTCAAGAGAAGTGGTGGAAAAAAATCCAGAAATGAAGTTTTGGTTTCATTTGACACGTACAAAAGTAGTCAACATGTAGGTTTGTCGGTAATAAACGTTACCGCACCTTTTTATTCAGCTGATAGCACCTATTCTTTAGTTGTTATTGAATGTTTTTTCGTGAGGTATAGTAATTCAGAAAGGTCATAGAAGTCGCTATTCCAGTAATATTAGGTAACTGATGCAACTTTAGTTAAAAAAGTGTTTGTTTTTCTAAAAAAAAA